CTTCTTCCCAGGCTCAACTTCACTCATTCATTCCCACCTTATCCACTTCCCAACCCACAACAGTGCAGGGAGACAAGGAACGCAGGTCACAGAATTATAGAATCATCTAGGTTGGAAAAAAACCTCTATAATCATCGAGTCCACCTGTTAACCCAGCATTGGCAAGCCCACCACTAAACCATGTCCCCAAGCACCACATCTATAAGACTTGGGAATACTTCCAGGAACAGTGACTCAACCACTTCAAAGGGCAGCCTGCTCCAGGGCTTGACAATCCCTTCCATAATGAAATGTTTCCCAATATCCAATCTGAACCTCCCCTGGTGCAGCTTGAGGCTATTTCCTGTTGTCCTGTTGATTGTTACTTGGGAGAAGAGACCAACCCTTTCAGGTAGTTTTAAGGAGAGGACAGGTCTCTCCTGAGTCTCTCTTCTCCAGGCTAAACACCCCCAGCCCCCTCAGCTGCTCCTCACAGGACTTTTGCTCCAGACCCTTCACCAGTTCTGCTGCCCTTGTCTGGACTTGTTTCAGCACCTCAAAGTCCTTCTTGTAGTGAGAGGCCCAGAACTGTTCACAGCTATCAAGGTGTGGCCTCACCAGTGCCGAGTACAGGGGGACAATCACTACCCTAATCCCACTGGGCACACTGTTGCTGATCCAGGCCAGGAGGCCACAAGCTGCAGCTTCTTTCAAGGCATCTCCCCTGGCTACAACATGAGACTGACTACTGTACACCCAGGTGAGAGAGTTCTCCCCAGCCACAGCAAATGAGCGGGTGCTACTCCAATCCTGCAATACAGTTTTCACTTTCCTGAGGCACAGTGAAGTCTGGTGCTATGCTAGGAAATGCAATCTAGCATCTCTAGGCCAAGAAACACATTTATGAATGGCCCCTCTTGTTACACAACTACAGCTGAGCCACTGACCTCACTGTTAGACACGGCACCGTCAGCCCGAGCCCAGCCAAAGCGGCGGAGTGAGGGATACAGCAAACACGTCTGGCACAGCCCATCGCTCCCTACTGCTTACCACAGAAATACTTTTTAAGCAATATAGCACTTTTTTAAAAACACCTTCCCATCCAAGATGAGTGGAATATCCTGAAAAAACACATGATAAAACAGATCTCTGTGAACACAGGAACCTCATGTGTAATGGAATGCTCAGGTCACTACTCGGCTCAGCAATACCCTCTCTTTTCCTGGCAGCTGTGGCCTTGCTGGAGTGGCATCAGTCGGTATAGATGACAGATGTCAGGGGCCTTGACACTTTACAAAAACACTTCAACACATTCCTGGTCAAATTCCTCACTCAACTCTCTTCTGCACAGTAAGATAACATCTGAGAAAACCACTATATTACAATATTGCATATTCTTATTTCAGCTTCACAACACATTTTTTTAAACTAAAGTGTCAACCACAGATTTTATAATTTTCAGTGTATCTATGAACAAAGTTGTAAAAAAAAAATAAAATTAAGAGAGTTGAACATGTATTATGAAAGCATAACTAAGAACATTTGTTTCTCTTGAAGAACATTTTTTGTTTCTCATTAAGGTGCTTCAGCATCAGAACTGCACCAAAGACATTCCAGCTAAAGCTTCCTTAGGCTTCCTTCCTCAGATTTACTTTTTTATTACTTTTGCAATCTTATCCCAGTAAAGATTACAAATTCTCAGGGCCTACTGCAAAGACATCCATCAGAAAGCTGTACAGATGGCAGGACATTGTTAAGCCTTTAAATGTACGGGACTTTTTCCATGTTAAAACACAATTTACATCTATGCCAGTTTTCAACCAATCTGCAGATGGATTTTTATGCAGTAGAAAAGTTTCAAACATACAATTTAAGAGCTCTAACTCAAACCACTGGGATGTGATATGGCCTAGAACAATATTTTGGAGCTGAAAACTAGTACAACATTGCAACACGAAATTTTAATCAAGCGCTTGCAAAAGTAATTTGAAAAATATACTTCTGAGAGTCAGGATATTGTTAAATCTTTTGGACAAGCAGCTCAGTAAAACTTCAGGCAGAGGGAGACAGCTTATCCCTCTTACACTTAGTTACGAATTTCCTTCCTCCACCTAACCAGATCCTGCTTGGGAGTCTGGAGAATTAAGGAAGATGTGATCATGCTCCTCCTCTCCTACCCCCTCAGGACTAAGGAGCTCCTGTGTCCCCAACCCTCCTCACCCGAGCAGCAGACGGGCTCTCTCTCTTTCCAGGAAGAAGAGAGGTCAAGAGGGATGATACCCAACTCAGAAGCAGAGCAGGGGCAAGTGGCTGCTTTCCAGCCCTTCACTTCTCATTACTGTGCAGGTCTTATCCCCTCCCATCTCACTGAAGAACAAAATTAGATGCAAGAGTTCAGAAGTCAACTACAGGACTGAAGGCTGAGGGGAAGCACAAGATTGCTGCTGATGATGCCCACCAACATCAGATCCACATACATTGCTATCACTTGTAACTGCACACATTTACAGTCGCCACTGTATCCGTTTAAAAGGATTATCTGAATCATAATGCATGATAACTTTATCCTACAATTCACTGCCTGATAAATAAATATTTACTCAGCTGTTGCTCTCAGGACACCAAGATGACCCAATGGCAGCTGTAAGGCAGGTTACTTGTAGGTGTGCCAAAGCACTTCAAACAGAAGGCAAAATACTTATAAAACACTCTAAATATGTTGAAACCCATAAAGAAAAAAGTGAAGGAAGCACTCTCCCATAATTTTAAAATATTTTCAAGGCCCCGTTTGTATGCAGGGCAAAACCACCAGTCTCTGAAGCAAAAAAAAACCAGCTATCCCAGCAGCAAACCTGCTGGGTGACTTTTGATACGTATTTGCCAAAAAAAATTAAAAAATAGGTTTTTAACCAAATTCTTGCATCATTCAACGAGGGTACAGAATCTCAACGTACACCTCCTTCAAACTAACAAAAGCCAAGTTCACCAAACTCATAAAACTAACTTAGACTTAAGATCATATAAAAGAAAGCCAGTAATCAAGCACCCCCCAATTTCTATTTTTCTCCTACATATTACTTAAAAGAGAAGGACAAGCCAACTCAAACCAAAGACAAAAACAAAAATGCAAGCTTTCCAAAGTTGAAGTAGCACATGTCTTATTTCTAACTGAAACATATTTGTGAAAATGAAACACAGCTTCTACAAAAATGACAAGGAAATACCCACATAAATAAAAAACAAGATCAACCATACCTAAAGGAAGTGTTTATCAAGAAAACTCAGTCACAGTAACATTATCTCGGATGGAAGTGATACTTTACACTGTTAAAGAAAAGCTCATGAAACATTATCCAGGTTGAACAGCGAGAGAGAATAACAGAAGACCCCAAAGTTGCGCTTCTATGTATTCTAAATTTGATCAGTGTTTGTAATTAACAACAAAAGACATACAGAACCATCACTGAGTTGGCAAAGAAAAAAACATTTAGAGAAAGAGCATCTCACATAGCTACCAACTTTACTGACAAAATCTGTAAATATTCAAGTTTAGGACTTAGAACTGATCCCAAAGTTTATTTCTTCGGGTTCTTTTCATGATAGCTATCTCAAAGACATCAAACTTTCACCTTCCTTTTCTCTAAACCACTCTGTTGAAAACTGTCTTGTAAACTGCCTCAGCTGTCTCTTGGGAACTCCCACAGCTGTTAAATGAAGGGATAGAAAAAATGTTAATTTCACAAGAGATATTCATTGTTAGCTCTTTGAGACAAGCAAGCATTAGTAAGAAACTGAATACACATATTCTCCTTTTTGACTATTGCTACAAAAATGCTGTGAAAGTCTTAAAGTCTGCAAGGTTTCAAATCTTATCAGAGCTCTGCTTTAAAAGCATTTATATTATGATTCAAAAATAAAACCTTATTGAATACTCATGCTAGTAACCCCACTTCTGCTCCCCCTCAACACCTGGAAACACATTTCACAGAATTAGCTAGGTTGGAAAAGACGTTTGAGATCAAAAAGTCCAATCTGTGACCTAACACCACCTTATCAACTAAACCATGGCACTAAGTGCCACATCCAGTCTGTTTTTAAACACCTCCAGGGACAGCAACTCCACCACCTCCCCAGCAGCTCATTCCAATGCCCAATCACTCTTTCTCCGAAGGATTTTTTCATAATGTCTAGCCTAAACTTTCCCTGGCACAGCTTAAGACTGTGTCTTCTTGTCCTGTCATGGGTTTTCTCGGAGAAGAGACTGACCCCCAGCTGCCCACAACTTCCTTTCAGATAGTTGTTTCCATCATCACCTGGAGTATATTGTCCAATGACAGCTTCTGTGAGCTTGTGCAAGTCTCCTTTCAAGCCCACTGATCACTATTCTGGCTCTTCCAAGTCAACATCTGGAGCAGCAAGTGAAATAATTTATGTCTTGTCAGTGAGAAAATGTTTAGTGAAGAGCACCACTTGCCTGTGCTCCGGTTTCCACGTGTGAAATAGAGAAAATTACATCCAGTACTGCATTTACTTTAACAGAAAACCATCCAAAGCTGTACTTAAAACGCAAAAACCACAGCACTGCAGACATCCTCCACACTCACAGTCCCCAAGCCCGAGTACAGTAACTACTTCCACCGAGTACATAATTTTTAAACATGTAACCATTGCCAATTATTTCATTAAAGCTATGCTACGATGAGCAGTATGTCCCGGCAGACTCACTTGCACGATCACAGCCTCAAGCCCCGCCTGCGATGTTCCATGAGGGGTTCCCTACACGCACGCGGACTCTCTGGAAGTCCTGAGCTGTACGAGACGACCCAGTTTCGGCCACGGACCAGATGCTCCAAGTCCGAGGAGGTGCAATGAAACCAACACGCTGGGCCCTTTGGCTAACGATCCCAAACCGAAGCACCGGCCGGGCACTCGTTACCCCCAGCGCTCCCCTCCACGCCCGCCCTCAGGACGGGCAGCCCCTCACCGCGCTCCCCCGCTCTGCAGACGGAGCTCGTACTTACGGGGCCCGCGCCTCCCACTGCCCCCAAGGCCGCAGGGGCACGGACACGCTCCCGGCGCGGTTCCCGGTGCCGCAGGGACAGGGACACGCTCCCGGAGCCACGGCCACGCTCCCGCCGCGGCCCCCAGCCCGCCGCCCACCCGCTCGCTCTCTCGCGCAGGCGCCCTGGCGCCGCGCCGCCCCTCCCCGCGCTCCCCTCAGCGCCCCTCCCGCCGCTCCCGCTCCCGGGCCATCCCGGGAATAGCGGGCCGGCGGGCCTCAGCCGCTTGTTTGCTTTGGGCTTCCCGAGCTAACGCGGCAGGCGCGGCTCTGTCAGCGCGGCTCGGACGGTGCCAGCGGCTCGGCACGCCCGGGGTGCTGGTGGCGCTGACAGAACTCTGCCAGCTCTTGCTATTTGCGGGAATGCTGAACCGCCTGGGGTTTGGGGCTTTTGGAGCTGCGGGGGAGCTCCGAGAGTTTGGGCATCACGGCATTTGCATGGCCGGCGCTCCTCAGCAGCTGAGTCTCACTTCCTCTCCAGACGTATCTGTTGGAAGATGTCCCTGCCCGTGGCAGGGGTGGAGCCAGCGAATCTTTAAGGTCCTTTCCGAATCTTTAAGGTCCTTCCTTTTGCGGCTCTGTGGTATTTAGCACTTTACAATCAAAATTACGTGGGGCTCCGCAGGAGTTCTTAGTGATAAGAATTAAAATGCCTGCTTCCAAAACTCAGGAACAGGAATGTTGTTCCCCTTCCTTAAGTGAAATCACAACAGGGCTTTTGGTGTCAAACTTCAAGAGTGCAGAAAGCCGCTTCAAATTTGGTGCCCGCATGCAGATGGCTAAAGGTGCTGTTACGAGGAAGTTAATATTTGACAAAAAGCCTCAAAATCAAAGCTGTTTTTACCTGCAGTACACAGTAGATCACTGTATGGATTAACCGAAGTTCCAATTGCTCTAACTTAGCGCCGCTTGTTTAATCATGCAAACCTTTTCAACCTAACTGCTCCTACCTGCCAAAAAGGCCGATTATTTTAAATTATGCGCTCAAACAACAAAGCAGTTTCACTGACCATAGGAAGGAAAGCAAAATGGGAGCAGTGGGAATGACCGTGGTGCTGCCCTGCTCTAGAGGATTGCTGCTTGCTGCTCTACAGGCCTGCAGATGTGCCTGCCAGGAGCTGGAACACACCACCCACACCTCATACAGCTGCACCCACGGGGCATCTCTGTATGCTCTATGAAGCACTACAAAAGTCCTTCAAGAAAAGGGGAAAATTCATTTTCTTTTGTGGAGAAAAATTACTTCTGTTGAAAGAAGAAGAGAGTAGAAAGTTTCTGCTTAAAAGTGTAGGAAATAAAATAAAGGCAAAACAATAAAATTTTCAAAAATTAGATCTGAGGGAGAATGAAGAATATTATTACATTCCTTCTGTTTGTAAATAGTAAAGAATGTTGATAATCTAAAATTAAAAGGGATGTTAATAGTTGTCCAGTATTAGCTGTATGAGTGATCCTTTTCCTAGTGGCATCAGTCACACCTATTGATAGTTTTAGTCAAGTTTAATGATGTTATGTAATTGTCAGACCGAGATACTACTTCCTGATTGTAAACAAATCTACCAGGGTGAAGGTCTCAAATATAGCATGTTTCTGTTTGTGCTGTGTCAGTCAGAACTGCAGATACAGAAGACACTCTGCTGAGAGAGTGACCCCCCAGTGTTAGTCATTATTTGACCCATGGAGAATGCATTGGCCTTATCACTTTGTCAGTCCACCCTCATACCGCAGATTTAACCAGAGTGTATCTTAAATCCCAGTGCACACAGCAAATCACTCATCTTACAGACCAACAAAGAGAAGGAAGCAAATAATGAGACCTGAAATTACTGTGGTGGTGGTCTCACAGGATAGGGAAAGGAGAGATGAAATGGCCAAAGGTATGTGTGAAGATGCTAGAAACAAACTCAGTTATGCAGAGGATCTCAAAGCACTGTTTGGACTTGCAGTCATCAGGAATACTGTGCTGTATGTAAAGGGAAACTTGGCCCATGGCAGTGATCGCAGGGAATGTGGGAAACATTCTGAGAACCACAATTAACTCTGTTTATGGCCCACGGAACACTGCCTTTCTATAAAAGTCTCTCTTTGTGTTTTCCTCCACAAACATTCTTATCTTGCAAATTTAACATTTGTCTAATTTTGTTTAACCAAGTTTCTTTTCTCTGTACTAAATGTTATGCTTGTTCCAAAAAATAAAACCTTGTGGATCTCATGGGAACAGTCTTGAGAAAGGCCCTGAATCTGGAGTCTCCTTCGGTGATCTATCTTTTTTATTTAATTAAGCAAACCTTACATTTTCCCCTACCTCAAATATTCAGGTTGTCCTAGGTGTGCTCTAGCTGCTGATTTTAATCTCACTTGTAGAATATGACAAGGACTGAACTTAACCCACCCAGAATATCAACCATTGCTGAGCTCCACACCACATGCAAATGTAGTACAAGACAGGTGTTCCCCAAATTTCCCCATGACTCAAGGTTTTCAAGGTGTAAACTAGCATTTTTTAAATGTTTGGAAAGGAGCAAAGATCATTAGTTGTGGAAATAATGCCATCCAATAAATAATTATCTGTAAATTTAGCAGTAAGTATTTCAGTGGAATGCTACATCTCCAGCTGGGAGAAGGTCACACAGTACACGGCATGCTGAGCAACATTATTACACTGAGGTGATGAAAAGAATTTTTTTTCCAGTCCGGAAGAAGCAATGATATTAACAGCAAACCTGATACCTCATCAACTAGCCTAGCACAACATAAAAGGTTTCCCTAAGAAATCAAATCCTTCTCAGCAGGTTGTTAATGCTAGTAGTTTATCTCAATACTGTGCCATAGAAATGGCAGAATTTCTGAGTAAATAGAATCGGATCATGGGTCATTTGGGTCTGATTATGTTAATGCTGCTATTTGTTGAGCTGCAGTAGATTTTGAAGCCCTGCAGGTTGGTTTTCTACTCACATAGACATCAGTGACTTGAAATAAACTTGTTTATAACACCTACTTTTAGAAGATGCTTAGAAGACCTGTTTTCTTGAATACAAAGTCCACATTGGGCACTCCCAGGGTAAATTTAAAGGATTGTTCCTGTTCAGGATCACCTGTTTATGTCCCAGAGTTTGTGGAACAGTAGCCCTGGAGTGAAAGGATAGAGGAGGTGCTTGATAAAATGAAATATTGAGGAGTCAGTAAGACAGGAAAAGGATTTGAAACAGGAGGGAGAGTGAGCAGCAAAAGGGGTCTATTTTTTCTCAGGGACAGCAGAAAACAGACACGAAGCATAGCAGAAGCAAGGAGCAGGTGAAAAGGGTGTTAACCTAAATAAAAGAAATGAGAATTGGAAGGAACAGATAGGAAAATCAAATAGGTTTACAGCGTAAAAAGTTTTATACTGTTAATGTTTGCAGGGGACAAACTGGTATTGCATGACTCTATCTAAGACCCCGCAGCAGTTACACATTTAATCAAAGAAGGGTCTTTTTGAGCCTGAGCCTGTGTACTTTGATGGTCTTCTCACACACGTAGTCCAATGATTTACGATAAAGTCCCAAGAAGGATAAGTTAGAAGACTGATAACTAAAGGGGATTTCACAAAACCTAGCAAGGAGGATCTCACCTTTCCCGTTCTGTCTGACCTAATCCTTGTTCCTCAGTACTACTTTCCTTGGCTCAATCTGGATTACAGTTTCCTCGCAAATATGAGGAAAGCAAGGACCCAAACTTTCACGCAGCTCTCTGATGAATTCATTGATAAAAATACAACATACCATGGATTACACAGAAGGACCCTGGCAGACAAATGCAAGTTATTTCTGAAATTTTATTTCAAGTGTAGATGGGTATAAATTGTCATACTGTGATAGCTCTGGCCACATTAACATTGCCATGTGAAAATGAGAAAGGAAAAGATGAGACACATAAGTCTCCACACTAGGCATAACAATTAGTGCATAAAATGCTAGGGAGGAGGGTGTGTAAATCTTTAAAGCATCCAACCAAAGCTGTGCTTAAGTCATTAGCCTAACTTTTATAAATAGCACAAAGTTACTTCTTCTAGTAAAAATGCACAGCAGCTGTAAGGTTAATCTGCATGTATCTGGACTTGAACTGCTGTTCAGATTTCTGACTGAGAAGGAATTTCACCCCTGCTGAATTAGCACAGATCTGTCTCCTACCCTACTGTGGTTTATTGCACAGTTCCATCAGCTAAGATCTCCTGGGCATGTTTTACTCAAAGATCAGGTTTCTCTTGGAGCAGGCATCTCAGGCCTCAGAGACACCTGTACTGAGGATAAGAACAATTTGTCTTCTTAAATATTTCACTGTTTTGTTTGGGTATTTTCTGCAGCTGCTCTGGAGCAATGGAATGCTTTGGCAGATTTCCTAGTACAAGGTGTGCATTACAGAGGTTCAGACAGAGAACTACAGATACAGTCTGTTGGTACATCTGGGCTGTCACTGGTCATTTCTGTGGCTAAAGGGGAAGGATCAGCAAAGCTGAGGTGTGAGGGCAGTGAGGCAGACACAATCAATCTGTTCACTGAGCAGCAGCTGTGATCCAGTTTGTAGACATGGAAATTATGTGAGGATGCTGCTGAGGCAGAAGGAAGGAAAGTGAATGCATGAGGCACAGACCCTGATCTGCTGCCAGGGAATTAAGAGGGAGAATTCTTTGTCAGAAACAAGCCAAATCACACTGATAAGCCAAAAAGACTTTACCAGAGCCCCTTCCAGACACTTGTTTTAAAAGTAAAACAGAAGAGCTGTCCTGGTTTTGGCTGGGATAGAGTCAATTTTCTTCCTAGTAACTGGTACAGTGCAGTGTTTTGAATTCAGTATGAGAATAATGTTGATTATACAATGATGCTGTCATTGTTGCTAAGTAATACTTACCCTAAGTGAAGAATTTTTCAGCTTCCCATGCTCTGCCAGGAAGCAGGTGCACGAGAAACTGGGAGGGAGCATGGCCAGGACAGCTGCCCCAGGCAGGCCAGTGGGGTATTCCATACCACAGAATGTCATGCTCAGTATACAAACTGGAAGAAGCTGGCCAGGAGTCACTGCTGGCTTCTAGGTGGTGAGCAACTGTATTGTGCATGACTGTTGGCTTGTTGATTTTCTTATATTGACTTTCATTTCTCTCTTTCCATTATCTCTGTTTTCATTACAATTATTACTAGTTGCATTATTATTTTACTTTTTGTCAATTCTTAAGTTGCTCTTATCCCAACCCACAGATCTGACCTTTTTCCGGTTCTCCTCCCCATCCCTCTGTGGGGTGGGTGGGGCAGTGAGTCCTGCTGGTACTTAGTTGCCAGCTGGCGTTACACTGTGTCAATATCCTTTTTGGCACCCAACATGAAGCATTGAGGGTTCCGATAAGGACAGGCCTGAGCAGAGCACATTAGAACAAATTTGTTATGAGCATTCGCTGCATTGGTTTAA